ATATGTCCACCTTAGAGAAAGACACAGCAACTGTCCTTAAATAAATATAAAATTTTTCCTATTTAATGAAGTAATTGCAATGATAGCAATAAATGAGAGTAATTGTTCTTCCTAGTAAGAATGACATAAAAAAATAATAGACATCTGGAATGAGACAAATGTGGGGCAAAGAATAAGAAAATTATACTATGATTTTTAAAGTGATGAAAGAAACCTTCCAGGCGGTTATTAGAAAAAATTCTGCATAACTGCGCCTACTTATGTTTCTTCTGTAATATTCTCCAACTTTCTTAGGCACTCTGTTCCCTTGTCCCTTTTAAAAATTACTCACTTACATTCTTGTTCTCTCTGTTCCTCTGATTACGCTGCCCTGCATATATGCACTTTTTTTTTACCTTTTTTTTTTTTTTTTTTTTTTTTTTTTTTTTTTTTTTTTTTTTTTTTTTTTTTTTTTTTCTTCTGTGTAGGGACTGTGCCCCAGGTCTTGCAATATTCTACATTAAACTCACCCTCAAACCTCCTAAAACTTCATTCTGATGATGGTGTCATCTCCATGGTTCTGACTCTAGGCAAGGGCCTCACCTATTGTCTCTGCATGACTCCATGATCCCTGGCACAGACAAAGGCATACTTTTCATAAGTAATCACTGATTTAAGATGATTGCATGAATAAGTGCCATTAAAAGACACATGCTTTACACTTTCTAAAAATCAGTATCTGATATTCTTTGAAACTGGTCTCTACATTTGGACTTCTTTATGTTGGTAAATAACTTAAAAATTAGGAGTATTTTTCCAAATTTTTAAATAATATACTGTAAAAACAGACTATATAAAATCTGTTTAGATATCTGTTTGAAAATGCAAGTTCTGACACAATGCAGTGGTGTGGGCTAGCTGAAAGAATAGGAAAAGTTTCCAAAAGTAATGACTCTGTCAAGCTAATAATTTATGAGCCATTTTTTCAAACATCAGCTATCAGATGGAAGTGGGAGGAATAATAGAATATAACTTCTGCTTTACAATGGCCTGTTAATACAGAAAGGCAAAGGCGCCTGTACTCCAAGGAAGCTGTCAGCAAAGCTGCAGGCTGGAGGTCCCAGTATCACTTACAGCACTGGCAAGGAGGAGACCACTTCTCGGGAATGAAGCTTGAGGAGGGAAGCAGAAGGAAAAGGCCGTGGGGGGCTAGAAGAGGAGAATCAAGGATCTTTCATCAGCTTTTTTGTGTCTGGACTGATTTGTTGTGGGAGAGCTGCTGGAGACAGTATATTTGGCACAAGACAGGGTAGCTCAAAGCCAAAAGGATGGTGCTATTGCCAGCTTAAACTATGACTTTTCTTTTTTTTCCTTTTTTTTCTCCCCCCTCCCTCCTTTTTCTTTGAAGAAAGGAAAAGAAAAAAGGGGAAGAAAGGGATTTGCAATGAAAACCAGAGCAGTGGGTTTACAAGAACCCTGCAGACTTCAGTAGACTGGAAAGATACATGAGGCACTTCCTCTACCATCTGGCATGCAATTCTGCTGCTGCTGCTCTTAGTACATAACTTTGGAGTGAATAAGCAAGCAAGCAAAACTTTTTTTAAGAGACACCAACTATGAAACACCAGCTATTAATCTGTCAGCTTACTCCCTTCCCTTTTCTCCCACCACAGTATTCCTTTCCTCAAGTCTTTTCCAGTTCTCATGTCTACCTGTGAAAATAAGCACTGCCTTGTCATGTTTTCAGAGGACTCTATTTGCCTTTTATTTGGCATTGCTTCTCAGAATGAATGAGGGACAGAAATAATGCGTTTATATTTCTCTTGTAATCACTTAAGCTTCTTTAACTTGGAGTGAGAGAAAAATTCAGCTGATAGAAACAAAGCCATCTATCTCTGCTGAATTATTTCCTTCAAATATGGCTGGAAGTGTGAATGCAAAAGAGAAATTTTAGGTGAGCCAAACTTGCTGAAGGACTGTTTAAAATACAGTTATAAATGGCTGGGTACATTGCTGTGTAGGAGTATGCATGATGTTGAGGTCACATCTTCAAGTTGGGTAAATCATCACAGCACAGCTGAAGTCAGAGAAACAGAGAACTTGCAAAATCTGAGAATTTTGTCAATTAGAAATCTCTGAAACTGATGCTACAGCTGATTTTTGGTGCTAGAACTCCTCATATTCAAATATAGATCTTCCAGGCTTTCTTGTGAGCAGCTCTGATGTGGCTCCATTCTTATAATGAAAAAGACAAAAAGAAAGTCAGTTACAGCAAAATCTTGGATGAATTAAGGATAAGTAATCACTGAATTGGAGTACAACTGTGAAGCATAAGTTTATTAAGAATAAGATGAATTAATTTACAGACATGCCCATTACTGCCAAGCAACAATTTTAAGGTATTCTTTTTCATTCACAACTGCTGATCCTTAAACTGGCCAGAAATCAGAAATAAAAGCAAAAACAAAAACTCCAGGCTATCTCAAACAGTTGTTTTCACTTGACAGTACTTTTACAAGAGAAAAGGTACATACATTTTGTTAGGTTTATTACACAGCTTCTTGAAATACTGATACTATAACAACAGATTTCAGTTTATTTTTTGACTGGCCTCCTCCTTTGCACCTGTAGAACTGTAAGTGAAAACAAATGCAACGATTAATCCTGATCCTATCCATAATACAGGTACCTAGCCAAATGACCCAACTGCAAATGATACAAAACCTTTCGCAATTTTAAGGACACAAGAAGGTAGTGTAGATTTTGAAATCTGAGAAGATTTTCATTGCTGCTATCAAGAGGACTGGTGACTAAGTTCTGTTAACCACTTAAATATTCAGATACTCATCTAAAAATGAGTCTGTACATCTGTGAATACATTATCTTCCTCAGTGTCTGCTATCATTTATCATAGAATCATTATGGTTAGGAAGGCTCTCCATGACCACGGAGTCCAACCTTTGGAAGTACATCACCTTGCAGCTAAACCACAGCGCTAAGCGCCACTTTCAGTTATTTCTTGATCACTTTTTGCCTTCAGTGAAACTGGAAATGGCACAAGGATAGCCTTTCTTTCAGAGTTCTCTGGCACTTCTGCTCTTTGTCTCAAAGAGACACAGAACACACAGGTAAACAGAGGAAAACCAACAGCTGAAAAAAAGTTACTGCAACTCCTTGTTGCACAAAACTTAAATAGGTGGGGTGTAAGGTTTAAACTACTCAGTAGGCAAAGAATCTTCAGAGTCTTCTGCATTTCAGTTGCCTAGTTTATCTCTTTGGAACAGTGCTTTAAAGAGTAGCTGCATGACACACACCAATATAAAACACCTAAAATATCACTATAAGCCATATGAAAATAAAACAAATAAAATTTGCCTTTCTAGAAAATGATAATCACAGATTGTATGAATGTGGTCAGTGCTTGTGCTACTGTACTGCACATCATCTATTTCTTTGTTCTTAACTCCTTTGTTCAATGAGTCAGGATATCCTGACACAAAAGACTGAAAAATATCAGCACAACAATACTACACTGCTTTGGAAGTGCTACATAATTTTCAAGGCAAAGCTACCAAGTGTAGAGGGCTAATACTATGGCACTACAGTCTGCAATCAAAACTTCAGCAAACCATTACAGATGTCAGTTTGAGGTTGGAACATCAAGATAGGCAAAGCAGAGATCCTGTAACAGGGGAAAAACAGTATGATGTTAATCTGAGGAGGAGAGAAATGCACCCTGTTTTCTACATGTAAGGGTGTTAAGTTTCAATCCTTTCTCTTGGCCTCTCTTTCTGTGTGAAGGAAGATCCTGCTTGTTTGATGGTTTTCTTCTCCATCTGGAGAGAAGGCAGAACGTTGAATGTAACCCAGAGAAGACAAACGTACTAATTATGCACGCGAGGAAATGCTATAATGCCCACTAAAAGCCCATTAAATAAGCCTTCTGCAATTTTTACTGAAAACTACGTGCTGGTGCAAGAACTCAACCTCCACACCTCCGCTGTACACTCTGCAAACCACGGAACAGACCAGTGCCACGAGCAGGCTAAAAGGGACACCTTGTAAAAAGGCAATATAAATGTTGTGAAAATCGCATGGCCCCCCCGGGTCCGGGATCCCCGGGAAGGGCCGGGTGCTGCTACAGGGTCTGGCCAAAGGCAGCCCACAAGCCCGGGGAAGCCCTCGCTGACAGCTGCGCAGCCCCAGCACGCCACCTCTGCTGCTGCCTGAGCCAGAGCACTCCCCCGGGCGGCTTTGCCTTGTTTTTAAAGATTAGTGAACAATAATTGCCTCCTCGTCGTAGTCTGGGAGCGACCGCTGCCACCAGGCACCGTCCTAACGTGAACCCGTTCAGGTGGAGCTTTACAGCCGAAGTGCTTGCGGGCGCGGGGCAGACCTCCGCTAAACCCGTCCTTTCGGCAACTCGTTCCTCTGCGAGCCCTTCAGCGCGGGCCCCTCCGTGCGCCCGCCCGGGCTGGCGGCCGGGAGCGGGGCGGCCGGGGGCACCGCACGCCGCCAGCGCACTCGCGCTCCGCTCCCTGCCCTCGCAGCGTCCCGTGAATCACCGCCCGTCCTGCCGCCGAAGGGCAGCCGAGGAGACGGCGAGGTTTGACTAAAAGGCCAAAACCCCCACCAGCTCCGCAGCCGGCGGGGCGAGGAGGAAGGCGGGGCGGTGGGGGCTCCCCCACGGCATCACGGCAGGGATAAAGTCAAAGTGTTTCCGCCGTGGCGCTTAGCGGGCTGCGAGCTGCGGCTGTGCCGGCGCGGCCCCGCTGCCCCGAGTGCCGCCCGCAGCAGCGGCCCCAGCCCCCGCCCCCCGGTCCCGGCGCCGCGCCGGCATGAGCGGCGGCCCCGCGCCTGCCCGGCAGCCGCTTCGCCCCGGCGGCAGGCGCCAGGCGGCGGGCTGAGGGCGCGCAGCGGCGGGAGCCGAGCGCGGCCGCCGGAGCCCGGCGCTCCTTCCTTCCGCGGGGTCGGGGCCGGGCGCGCCCCTGGCGAGGGGCGGCGGCGGTGGGCAGCCGGGCGCCCTCGCCCCGCTCTGGATGCCCATCGCGGCTGCTCGGGCCGGGGGGTGGCTGCCGCTCCCCGGCGGGGGGCGCGGGCCAGGATGCCGGTGCTGGAGCGCTTCTTCCCCGCGGCAGAGCCGGGCAGGCGGAGGAGGACGGGGGACGAGCCGATGCCCTTTCCCATGGGCAGCCTGCCCGGTTATCAGCAGGGGACCCTGGCCTGGGACTTGCCCGAGATGATCAAGATGGTAAAGCTCGTTTGGAAATCCAAGGGGGAGCTCCGCGGGACGAAGCACAGAGGCGTTTTGGAGAGCGAGGATGCCCTGGGCGGTTCGGCAGGTAGGTTTCCCCCGCGCTGCTGCTCGGGGAAGGTGCGGGACTAACGCGGCTGGCGGGGAGCCGCGGCCGGAGCCGGACCGAGCCGCGGTGCGGCAGAGCCGCCGGGGCCGCGGAGCTGGCGGAGCGAGCGCGGCCGGGCTGAGGAGCAGCCCGTGCTTTGGGCAGCTCCGCGCCGCCGCCGGGACGCGCGCACCGGAGTTTGTGCCGCGATGCAGCCACGTCAGTTCGCCCATGGCGCTCCCCCGGTCCGGTCTGTTGCGTGGTTTTTGTACGCGGGGTGATAAAAGCTCGGCTGAAAACAAGACTCGGCCGGCCGAAAAGCGCCGGGGCAGCCGGGCTCGGTGCCGGCGCGGAGAGCTCTCCCTGCCCGCGTGGAGCTCCGCAGCGGCGGCCCCGCGGTCAAGGTGACGGAGAAACGGCGCCCCGGGGCTTTCCTGGCTGTGCTCGCCGTGCCCTTCCGAGCGCATGGCCTCTCCTCTTTCACCGCCAGACCTCTCCCCGATCTTTGCGTGCGCTGGGCTCCCTTCCCAGGAGCTGCCCGCGCTTCCCTTGTGCAAAGCTGAGCGACTCCCTTACGGCTTGGGTTTTGATAGCCACCACTATTAAAAACTTGAGAAACGCTGCCCTATCCCACTACTTTTTCTTGAAACGTGGTATATCGCTGGGTAAAGAGCACGTGCTTTTTCCTTAACTGTATAAATCTTGTCTGTAAGTTTTTCCCGATGTCACTAAGGTATGGCATGTCATCCATCACGTGCCTTACTGAAGTCCAGGTTGGACCTGCAGCATTTTCATTAGGTAGAGATGAGTTGTCAGGTTAGCAGGGTACTTCTGATCCGTTGATTCTGCATCTTAAACTGTGCGCAGCACTCCTTATGGTTCAAAACCTCTTCTGTTAAAGTCAAGGTCATAGGCCTATGCTTGTCTCAGTACCAGCTGGTAATTTTTTATTCTCCTGTAATTGCACTACTGTGACTTAATAGACTTTATGAAACTGTGTGGCTTGCTTCTTCAGAACTCTGGATTATCTCATCTCTGCTTCTTGGTCACTAAATTCTTCTGATGCATTCAGTCTTCAAACATTGTGCCTTCAGCTTCCTTTGGTGTACCTCTTATTAAGACCTATAATTTACAGTACTTTGTACCAGAATAATTTAATTTCTTAGATAGAATCATGTTTTTGTAGGTATTTCTAAGTGCTTGTTCTGTGTATGTACGTATATATTCTCTGTAATTTATATATAAACTTGAATATTAAATAGATATCAGTCACTTTTCAATGCCCGCTCAGGTTGGCTGGTTGGTTATTGTATGTCTGTTATTTGAAATGTATGCAGTTTAATCAAAGAATGCCTGGTCCATTTCTATTTTGAAAACAGGGAGATAGGTCTCGGGCTCTGAGGAAGATGTACAATCTGTCACCCTACTCTTGGGGAATCACTTCAGTTTAAAGGAATAATAAGTAAGAGTGATGTGGATAATGAAAGAGGAGGTCATATTGCTCTTTACGACTTGGAGCAAATCAGCTGGGAATGTGCTGTAGCCAACCAGGGAAATTGAGGCTTGTGTGGTGAATGCTGAGTGTTCAGAGATGGACCCTAATTAAGCAACTCAAGAAATGCTGCATTGCTTACACCGTATGTATGAGTAATGGTGGTTTTTTAGTGTGCTTGTGTTGTATCTGGTGAAATTACTTTCATTAAGTAACAAATGAGATTCACCTTCAGATTCCTGGAGGCAACTAAAAATGAGCGTGAATGTACAGATTAGTCCACTAGCAGGATGTGAGTAACTTGCATTTACTCAAATGGCCATTACTCGTATCCTGTGGAGGGGACAGTCCTCTTCAGGGTGCCAGATCTGTTTCATAAGCTCAGCTGACTTGCAGCTGTACAAATCAGGGCAGAAGATGACTCCTAACTCTCAACACTTTAAATACGAATCATCAGAGGGTTTGAGGGAACCAGACCTGGGTTGCTGGTTTTTCCTCCTCAGCAACAGTCATCCTAGTAGTTTTCCCTCTTGTGGTTTCATTTTAGTCACTTTAAGTACATTGGAGTATGTGGGAAAACCAGTAAATGCTGAAATCAGTATACTTAAATAAGTGCAGAGTCAAAGAATGCAGAAATGGGAAGAAGAGATAATCGTTTGGAAGGCTCAGTAGTTTGAGGTACTCAGCTTCATGTTTGGGTGATGTTTTTTACATGTTTGATTCCTGGAAAAAAAAAACAAAAAAACAACAGAACAAAACTTCATTACTTGTATCTTACACAAAAAGTCAGTACTTAGTCAGGAATCAGATTTTCTTCTGGTGGAATTAAAACAACTTCTGCTTGAGGTACTGCTAGCTAGGCAAATAAAGGTTGATTGTTCAGTAGTAGAATTCACAGCACTTTCCACATCAAGGGCTTTTTCATTTGAATTTGTAAGTATTCATGTGATAACTCATGTTCTGTTATCACATCCTCATGAAACTACTTTGTTTACAGTAGAAGAGGAAATAGATATGAATTCTGGAAGGAAACAGTCAGGATTTCTGGCTTGCTTGATCATATTAATACAGATTTAGCTAAGCAAATTTCTTTGCTTTGTCCGAGTGATCAGACTGGGCTTTGGGCTGTCTTGCTAGAAAAGTCACAACCCTCTCAGGCACAGACAGTGTGAAGGAGGAGAGCTGTATCTGCACATGCTGTCAGTTCTGTGGATGGCAATGTCTTGGGGACCCATTTAGCCATAATTTATACCACATTCCCCTTTCATGAGGTAGGAGTAGAGAGCAAAATTATCTATGTGTCCTGGACTCTCATATGTAAGAACTATATCTGGGTCTTTCACCTTGTTCAGTACCGAGAATAAGCTACTTAATCTCCCTGCAGAAAAAGGGTTTGCAATACATCATGCAGCATGTAGCTGGGATGAATGAAGAACTCAGATTTCAGTGACTGCCTGCCTGGGGTTTCTAATGATGATTTATTTTCACTTCCAAAGCAGTAAAACTCACATCTTAAGCCTTCTCTTCCTGTTGCCCCGCTTTTTAATGTTAGTATCAGTTAAGACTACAGACCCTTTTTCTCCTGCTCCTGGCCTGCTGTTGCTTAGTTACTCTTCCCCCCACCCCACCCCATTTCAATCCCTGACCAAATCAGCACAAAACTGAGATTTGTTGAAGACTCCCTCTTGCTGTGCCAAGAGCCATTTCTGTGGGAAATGGGTATAATTTCATGTCATTCCATACTGTGTTTCAAACAGATTATTTGCAAGCCAATGCCTTTTACTTGAATGAAATAACAGCATGTGTTTATATTATTACAACAGAATTGTTCAAATAATTCTGATCTACAACAGTGTTGATCTCTAGGAGGAAACTGTGTTCTGTTTACGACCCTAACTTTCTTATCACCCTCTCCTGGAGTTTAGCAGTAGCTTTGCATATCAAACAAATCTGATCAGGGAACAGGTACAGGTTTGCCTCTGAGAGTCAGGAGCATTTGTAACCTCTTAAGCTTACAGTGATCATCCCAGATAACTCCAGAGAGACTTTCTTGCACATGTGCAGACATGCATGACTGTGAGAGAAGGTGCAGTGCTACTAAGAATGATCGAGGTCTGTTGAGACACTGTGGGTTTTTTGAAATAACTCTGAATGTTTTTTTCCACTTACCTCTTTCTGTTGGTGGATGTTTTCTCAGAAATGTAGGTTCTGATTCATGTGTGTATCATGCTTGTTGTTAACTGGCAAGTCCCTTTGCCATGAGTAGGAAAAACAAGCAAGTACCACTCCTATTCGTATTTCCAGTTGGGAAAATCTTCACCAGTTATTGGTGTGTCTGTTTACTTCTCTTCAGTCCACTGTCTCCTTTATGCTTCAATAGTCTATTCAAACTTCTTGCTTGCTCTTTCAAACCTTAGAGCTGTCTCCTGAACCATCTTGTGATACACCTGTTGGAGAGGTCATAAAATCATGTGTTTCCTCAGTGGTTGCTTGAAGGTCTTCCTTAAAGTTACGCATGAGACTCCCAAAGACTTTGTTTTTCCATAGTATCCCAGGAAACATGCCTTCTACTTAATTTTTCTTTTGTATTTAACATTTTTTATCATGCTGTGCAATAGCTTTGCTGTGCATGTTAAAATAAACTTCATACTTCCGCTTCCTTTCAATGCTTATAGAATAACAAAATTATTTGGGTTGGAAGAGGCCTTTAAAGACCATCTATTTTCAACCCCCCTAGACCTGGTTGCTCAAAGTTCCATCCAACCTGGCCTTGAAGACTTCCAGGAATTGGCATCCTCAACTTCTCTGAACAACCTATTTGGGTGTATGTTTAGCTGTGACACCTTGAAACTCATGCTTGTATTTGTAGTTCCACTGCAAAAACTAATAATCATAAAATCTTTAAATCTGTGCATTACTAAGAACTAAATGAGGATTTGACTAACAGCTCAAAAGCTCATAGTTTTGAATATTTGGTGCTGAGCATGTAGGTGCCACAAATGTAGACCCTAGTAATAAATAAAATGTGGGACATATCAAATGGCATTGTCTTAGCATCTGACTTGTCTTCTGTGTTATTGTTTCGATTGAAATCAGCTTTGTTTATGTCCTGCTGACAAATGCACAGCAGGAAGGAGGGCAGCTTGCTATATATTTCTGAGGTTAAGTTTTCTTTTCTTCTTTTTTTCCCCCTGAGTTTTATGTTGAGACTTGTTAAATCCATTACACTTAGAAGGACAAAGAATGTGAATTTGATTGCTCACTGACTGTTGTCTTGAAAATCCTGCCCCTGGAAGCAAGAAATTTGCTATTCTCTATTTTGTGCAGAACTGGTTAAAGCAGTGAACTGTGTGTGATGGTCTCATTAAGAACAGTGAAATTAAACAGTCTACAGTACCACTTCTGTAGAGTGTGTATGTAGACCAAGAGAGAAAATTCAGACCACATCTATGGGTAATGCTGTTCAAACACAACTCTTCAGTTTATTGGCTGAACATAAGTTACTAAT